ACAAGCACTTCTTTATGCAACCAGGCAGTCCGTCCAGTTGGTTCTTGAGCCAATGCCATTCGGCATTGTCGCATTCACAAATGCATCGTGAACATTCGGGGCTCATTAGGGTAGTGTCATTTAACAGAGAGGCAGAGCGAGAGAGCGAGCGAGCGAGCCTGCGAGCAGTCTGGCAAGCGGCATCATCCTTCCACCCGTTTGAGCATCACCCGGCAGCTCAAACAGCAGGCGCTCCTCGGAGTTCAGGGATGAAGCCGACAACGACACGAGGTCTGGAACAGGCCACACAATAGAGTCTGGAGCGCACGCGTCCAAGGGCAGCGCAGTTGCAGAGACATTTGCGCGGTTTAGGGCTTCCAGCTTGGCAGATCTCAGCTTCGGCGGGTCATCTGCCAAAGTGGCAGACACGTCGACTTCGAGCCCGCAGATCTCAAACAAATTATCCGTCTCTTTTCTGTCTTCGAGGAAGCCGTAGATGGACCAGAGCGTGGCAGAGGAGTTGGGGCCGTAGAGATGCAGGAGCTCCTCGCCCGCTTTGATTGGCCCCTCAGCCAGCAGCAACGCCCCGTCTCTGACAGAGCCTTGCGGTTCGAAGGAACACTGCCAAAGTTGCACACCATCCTTGAAGAGCGTCGTGGTGTTCAGGATATCCACGAGCGGCACCAACCTGACGTGCCCAAAACGGTAATACAAAAGAACTGATGAGCTCAAAAGGGAAATAAACCAAAACATCTGACGCGCAAAAAAACTGCATATTTCTCTCTCTTCTGTCGTTGACAGTCCCAGGAGAAGCTCTGAGACAGACTGCAAGCAGCAGAGGCTCTTAAACTCTCGGAGAGGTGCTGACGGGCTTTCGACGAGCGGCGCAAGCTGCTCTTCAGCGGAATCCGGTTGAAAAGTAAAAGCCCTGGAATCTACGATGGCGAGTGCCCAGCGTGCATCCTGCTCTGAAATGCCGGCTGCAACCAACTTCTCGACATTTTCACATCCTGGCAGAGTCGCAGGTGCTCAGGGATCACAGAGAACATGAAACTTTGTGCATGAATATGTGCAGACGAGACTGCTCACCTACGCGAGAAACTGATTATAAGCGAATGTGTGAGATGCAAAGGCATCATCTGGAACAATGTTGATTCATAACTGTCGGGTCCGGATTCAGGTGAAAAAAACTGATTGCGAGCATCTGGATCGAGCGACAGGCAAGGATGATGCCAACTTTGGGCTTCGGGCCTTCCAGTTGCACCATGCCGCTTTCCGGTTGCTGGAGAGATTGACTCTTCTCAGCGACAGTGCCCAACCTCCAAGGATGAGCCTTTTGAAAAGGACTTATGTGGAGACTCTGTTGTTGAGCTTTGCGATGGTGCTATTGACTGCGATGGCGGCGAGATTGACAACTTTTATATTCATGCGGGCAGAGTGTGGCAGCGAAATGGTGTGGCAAGGTGGGAGTGGATCATAGAATATGTTTAAGCGACGTGAATGTGGCGGCAGATGCCCTGCGCGACGCATGTCTGAGCATGTGGTTGTCTCATCGGAGGCGAAACAATGTGCAACACTCTAAACTTGAAACTGTCCCAGTGCCGAAATCCTGCAGAATGACTGGGTGCTTGTGATGCAGTTCTCGCTCGGATATTTTTCACATCGTCTCGAGCCTGCCACACCAAACTCTAAGCGGCTCAACAATGACGGATAGTTCTTTAGTTTTCTGCAAAGACGACATACTCATCGGATTTTGTGGGTGAAAGCATAGCATTAGTGTTGGATAAAGACATAGCAGAGCCAGCTACCACATGTGACTTGTCTTGGGGCAGAGCAGCAAATTTCAGGCCTTCTTGAAAGATCTCTCTCGCCACACGCCGGCCGTGGGCACTTCCCGCCATCAATTCTTCGATGTCCAGCCCAGGTGGCCAGAAGTAGGGATGGATCGATGGAAGCTCACTTTCTGTTGGCAGACACCTGATGTAGGGCGTGAAGAACGACTCGGATCCCAGTTCCTTTTCGCGCAGAAGTGCTCGCGCCAAGCATGCCTCCTTCAGAAGACCTTCCTGCTGTTCACCGACGAGAATGCCCTGCTCTGGAACGAGGCAAACAACTTCTCCTGGCGCAAAGTCCCTCGTCGCAAATGCGGCCAGACCTCCACCCTCTTTCATGCTGACATCGAGTCGGAGATCGTCAACTCCCTTTGTTCCGATCTGCTTCAACCATGTGCACAAGTCTTGCAGCTCGTCGCTCTTGTAACTTCGAACCCCTGGGCAGATTCGCCGTTTGTACAAACGGCTTGCACTCAAGGCCAAAGTTCCAAGGCCCAACAAACTGCTTCGACCAGAAAGGCCACCAAAAGGCGTGGCCCGAACTGAATGTAATGTAGCCAATGGAGCCGTGCAGCCCACATGACACTGCGTGTCTGGGCGATGAGGCGGCAAACTTTGCATTGCTCGGATCTGCCTGGAGTCTGGTGACAAGCCTCTGCAACATGTTTCTACGATTTATGAAACACTTCGTGAGTCGATAATCTCGTCTCTCCCTCGCACATGACAGCTTGCATCAGCCAGACATGCGGATATCGTCGAACCCAGGAACGGGAAAGTGGCCGTGGCCCACCGTCACGCTAGTGTCACGCTAAGGAGCTAAGGACTGAACTCTAGCACCTTCTGGCCGCTCCAGCGAGCACCCGCACTTTCCTGAGATCCAGAACTGCAACTCCAAAACCCTCAGGAGTGGTCGGGCTCGTGCCTGCAAGTGCCGCGGCCTTCCCATGTGGCTGAGGTAGGAAAGCAGGTCATCGGCCTGGACTTCCACTTCGTCCCTTGCCTGACTCTTCCGTTTCTGAGGCATGGGCAGCTGGCCACTTGCGAACTCCACAGCCTGGGTAGAAGAGCGCAGCGCTGCACGAAAGCAGCGGAGCCGTGAACCCAGGCACGAACCATCTGCAAAAATCTGGCACCCTTCCCAAACATGCAGTATTGTCTCTCCGTCCTGCACAACAGCGTCATCTTCTCTCGGCTCGGTCTCTAAAGTCTCTCCCCTTCGGTCGCGCACCTCAGTCTGGATCCGGTACTGCCGCAACCTGAAGAAGGAAGGAGCAGAGCAAAGCGAGCGCGCTGCTTGGAGACCGCTCGCAAAAGGAGGAAAGGCAGAAAGGCGCTGCCACCGAGCGTCTCCTTCCGCGCGGGCAGGTGATCGGCGTGGCCGGCATTAGCGCTGCAGGCGAGTTCAGCTCGCTGCTTCCTCGCAGGGGAAAACCACAAAGAGCCAGCAGATGCGAGCGGATGCGTCCTCGGCCTGGAGCTGAGCCTTGAGGCCAGGAAGGAGACCGCGACCGCCGGCACTGTTCGAATGAAGCTTCGGCCTCAGACGCTCAGACGCAGACAAGCTGGCGAGTAGCGATCCTTTGCCATCTAAGCAGCAGGCCATTCCACATCAGAGCTAGAGTGGAGGGAACATGATTTTGTGCTTGTGGTACTCTGCATTCAACCGCAGAGTTGCTTCACGGGGATTTGAGTTGGGTACATGACACGGTTCAAGTTGGGTCCGGGAAGTAGCATGCCTGCAATGGTCGACAGGTGCTTGCGTAAGAACTGTGCAAGAGTGTGCCAGAGCGGACTCCCAAGTAAACGTGCAGACTTGCAGACACCTGCGCCTCCAGCACAACTGATCATTCAAGCTTTGCTTGGTTTTGCGGGTTGGTGAGCTATGTACACAGGGGACAGAAAGCCCCAAACACAGTGCAAGTGCCCGAGCTCTTTGGGTGCACTGATTTGTGCTTCACTCGCTGACTGGTCCACCGACGGCCACTTGGGCTACAGGGCAAAGGCTCGCCGCCTAGAACAGGTTGCCTCGGCAGACAGTCTCGAAAGTTACGTGTGAGAAGAGATGCACAAACTACAGACTATACATCTCTGCCGTGTGCGATTTCAACCCATCTGAGTGCCAGGCTGTTGAACCCCAGTGGCAAATCGGATCCGGATGATTCAGCATCTGACTCCTGAAATTATCTCTGGCTCCGCTAGATCCAAAGGGATGCAGAGCGGAAATGCAAGAAAGAGACGTCCCGATCCTCCTGCGATGGCGCGCTTGCTGCCTCACCATCGGCCAACAAGTCATGTCTCGTTGGCGACCGCAATGACACAAATCCTCTGCCCTACTCGGACAAGGGCCGAACCATGTTTTCCTGTGTAGCAATCGCAGAAACCCTAGGTTGCAAAGTTATCAAACTTGGTGCAGCTGGGCTGGTTACATTCAACTTCCGGCCTCAACAAAGCCTCTGACGAGCTCCCATCCACATTCACTATCCTGTGAGTTTGTGTCCTTGACCTCCCCTTGTGCCCTGGTTACAGCTCCATGGGAGGAAGAGACCTTTTTGATTCTACCCAAGCTGGGTTGCAGAAAGTTGTCCTGCATCGCTGTGTCGCTTACGGAAGTTGTGTCAGATTCTGTCCTGGTGCTCGACTACTACATCTTAGAGCTGATGGAATGCTGCAGAACCTCAACCTCCTCAAAAATGTCCAAAGACCCTGATTGCGCACACGCCGAAGCCACTAGCTCCACCAGTACATGGCATACCTTCTGGCGACCGTCGTGCAGCCATTGCTGATCGGTTCTACGCGTTCTATGCCCGTTCAGGGCTTCAGGGGCTTCCTGATGCGCGTGTTTCCCGCTCGCGTAGCAGCCGGAGCTACCCTTCTGCCCGCCCCCGGCTGCAGCGCCTTGGCTTTGGCCTTGGCCTTGCTGGCCTCGGCCATCTGACGCTGGCGCTCCTTCCGAGAGCTTCGATCGATTTTGTGTTGAGGCGTCGCTTCTGGCTGTTGCTCGCAGAGTCCTGCTCTGCCCGTCGCTCAGCGACTTTTCGCAGGCGCTCGGCTTCTTTGGCCTTCAGCGAGGCAGCGGCAAACGGCAAAAGGCTCCCACTGCCAGGCACTGCCAGGCGCCCTGCAGCTTCCTCCTCCTTTCGCTTTCTTTCCTCGGTGGCGACGACTTGCGGCTCAAGCGAGCGAAAAAGCCCTCGACCTCCTCGAGGATGCGCTCTGCCACCCGTTCCTCCTTCGGACGGGCAAAAACAAACTCGTGCCATTCATGAATCGCGGCAACGCCTCCAACTTGGCTTCCTCCTTTCTCTTTTCCTCCTCATGCACTGGACAAGTGAAGCACGTCTCCCCATGCGAAGGCGAAGCTGTCCTCGCGCTCTTTCGCGAGAGCCTCCTTTTCCTCTCGACGGCGCCTGACCCGGAAGAGAGTCGAGTCTCTACCGTCAGCACTGTCGACCCCTCTTGCAAGAGACACATGGTTATCGCTGCGCCTATTGCGAGGCATCCGGTCTTTGGGGAAAAAGTACACTCTGGGTGTCTTGAGTAATTAACTCATTCGCTCTGTCTGTCTACTTTGACCCTGAACGACCACACACACTGCCGCTTCATGAGCAGCATGCATGTCGCCAAGGGCACGGCTCGGCTTGCTCTTTCTGTTCCGCAACTTTCCTCGCTTTTGCCTCTCGAGATCCCGAGACGATGGCGAGTGCCTTCGACCTAGGCACGCTAAAGACTGGCCTCCGCCCGCGCAGCCTTCGCCTCTTTGGACGCTTCTCGCCTGCGCAGCTCTTCTGCCGCCTTCTCTTCAGCCAGGCGTTCCTGAGCCAGCTGCTCCAGACTGTCTGCCACTAGCTGCGTTTTCTGGCAGCCTTCTCCTCCCTTCTGGCTGCGTCACGGGCAGCTTTCCTGGCACGACAGAGGCCAAGCATCCAACCATGTTGCGTAACCGTGCTGGCTGCACTCTTCTGTACGTTTCTGGACTTGCTCGGCCTTAGCACACAGTTGCTGCTGCTTGGGCACATGACACGCGACACGAGCACCAACAAGGTTGCTGCGAATTCGCTCGTTGCGTGAGCCATTTGTCGGAGGACCTTGCGCAGTGACTCATTTCAACACTGCACGGCGACTTGATCAGCGACCCGTGCTGCTACAGGCGCAGCATCTCTTAAGGCATGTGCCCAGCGCCGCCGGAGCCTAGAACAAACGTGCCAAACGGGCTGCCATACAGCGCCACACCTACACTGAGCGGGGAACTCTTCGGCGATTTTGACAATTTCCTTGAACTGTTGGTGAACACCATCAACGCTGTGAAGCGCCACGATGCTCAAGCGGATGTTCTTCCCCATTGCTTTGCCAATTCTGTTGCGACTCAGCGCAAAGACTACAGGCACCTCATGTTCACGTGCCAGTTCGATCACATCCTCCACAGTATCGTCAAGGCCCCCTTCCGCACTAGAGGTTTCCAGATTTGGCGCCACAATGAGACCCTTGCACTTGCTCCTTGTGATGGCTCTTCTGGCTTCCCGCAGCCCCACGCAATAGCGCTTTAGCTTCGCGTACTTCATCGGGTTTTGCTCCTTGGCTCGATCTTGAAATCGAACCAGCTCCGACAAAACAAACTTCACCTTTTCGTCAAGGTCATCGCTGAGCTCCTGATGGACGTAATGTCGAACCTCCAGATTGGCAGGCTTCGCCACCGCCTCCTTTGGCTTCTGGCTCTTTTCCTGCACTGTTCGCAAGCGCTCGAGTGTCTCACTGATGGACAAGGGCTCAATCTCTTCCGACCCGTCTGAAAGATCTTCAGGCGGATCACAGTCGGGGCTCGGAGCAGGACCGGGTGGACCAACGGTCAAGGCAGCCACAGGACCTGCAGGCAATGGAGCTCTCGTTGCCGGAACGAGCTCCGTCTCGTGCAGAGCTCCTCGATCCTCTTCGGTACCTGTCCTCAGCCACTCGGCTGGCATGAAGGCCGGAGCATCGGCGTTCAGCCGGCTGGGTGCGGACTCTGATTCCTTGGGATCTCCGTCTCGGAACTCGCGATCTTCCAGAATCGTCTTCTTCAACTTGCTCATCTTCTTCTTCTTAGAAACGATGCGCTGCTTCCCAATGCGAAGATTCGTCAAGTCCATGGAGGACTGCTCGAGGATCGTCTTGCTAACAGCACCCGCGCGGATGTCCCGCCTGCTAGCCTCGGCCATCTCGAAGAGCGGCACCTCCGCACAAAGCCACGCCCATAACAAGGGGTAAAACAAATGATTTTCTGCTTTTTCTGCTTACTGCCTTTGCTGGCTCGCCGTGCTGCCCCCGTTATTTCTACAAGGCTCCTCGGCTGTCCGACGAGTAAGAAACCGGCGTCTCGGAAGCTAGCTGCCTTAGTGGCTTTGGTTACCATGGAGCCCGCACATCATTCGCTACACCTGGGTGTGTTGATTGGCTGCTGTCCTCCAAGTGCAGCTAGCTGCTACTGCAACATTGACGGACCCTGCCTGCCCCAGAGGAAACTGCCTCAGGAAAGGTCCACGTGCCGAAGCAGATGCGACATCAAGCTGTCAGCGAGAGCGAGGCTGATGGATCAACGGCCGTATGTGAAACCCTCAGCACCTGGTTCCCCATGCAATAACGCTGTGAAGTTTTCCCACATGGCATGAATGGCTCAAAAGGCTGCAGAGACACAAAGCAAGAACATGTATTGCAAGCAAGATGCCCGAAAGCATCCGAAAGCTATCATGGGATGTCAACTACATGACAGCTAGACATTTCGTTTAAAGTCTGAAGGGCAAGAACAAGAATGAGGGAAAAGGTGTCTGAATTCTAGACTTCAACCAAAACCAAAAAGCACACGACAGGAACTCGACATGAAAGCCGAAACATCGTGGAAATCTCAGCACAGGAACAACCGGCCCTTGGTGTCCACAGTGAAACACGCACAGGCTGCACAGTGAAACACGCACAGGCTGCACTTTCTGCGTGCTCTCTCCAACTCGAGGTTAGGCTACATGAGCTGGAAATCTCACCGCTTGGTGTCAGGGATGATAGACCTTGCCCGGCTGCTACGAATATCATTGCTAGGTCTGGTGTTCTTCTTGGCACTCCTGCACATTCAACTCTTCCCGACACCACAACTACGATGACCTGATCCATGCTGGCCACGATATGGGAGTTACTGTGCAGCTAAAGGAGGTCGGGGTTGCATGCACCCACAGTCATTGCGCCTGGAATGCAGAGTCCCCGTTGTTCGTGATGCGGCATCTGAGACTTCCTCGTCGGTCGCCTGATGGCAGGCTTCTTGGATGTTCATGCTTCACACACCACCGAGTTGCCCACGTGATGCAAGGAGACTTTTTGAACCAGGATTTCTGTCATGCTGGTAGCAAATCATCTGCAACAACCATGACGTGAACATTCGCTGCTCTCACTGCAGCAAGTCTTGATTTGGCTGACGATGCACTGTGTCGGACCTTACACGCACAAACATCACCGGGCACTCTCGATTCGTATCTGTGGGGAATCTGACATAGTTTGAACACCATGTTTCAAAGCTCGAAAGGCTCGAACGATCTGGATTGTTGATACATGGCTGACGGCAAGAGGACGCGGTGAGATCATCCGAAATGTAATACGTCGCACAGTTGTAGTACATCTCCTCAGACTCAGGCCCATGCCTGCAAGACTTTGAGGGGACATGTGTCCGAGATGTCTGTGCATGAGCTGCCAACCAAAGCCAAGCAGCTCCAAACTTTTCTACATTTGTACAATCGTTCCCATCGACTCTTTGTGATCCTTGCAAACACCCGAACCAAAAAATCAATGTCGAGGCTGTCGTTCTCAGTTGATTTCTAGAAAAGGTGAGCAGCTGAAGAGAAGCTATGACTTGTTAGAAGTGCACCCATCACCAGTCTGAAATGCCTCCCAAGAAGCCTTTCCTCCACGGATCTGCCACATCTGCCCTCGGCTTTTGCTACGCTGGCTACGACACCAGAACCAGAGTCCCTTGCAAAGCAACCAAGAGTCTCAGCAAAGCCTAAGCTGGCACAGATACATCTCATCTTGACAGTACTGAGACATTGGATCGGCTTTTCCTGTGTCTTAGTTGCAAAGGAAGGGCTTGCGGAGACAGATTGAAAGCCCAGCGTCTTCTCAATGTCCTTGCATTGCAAGACATGTAACAACATAGACTCTTGCCTACCTAGCGCAGACGAATCATGGAATCTCGAAGTTTTGTTTTGTTCAGCCCTTCTCGCAGTGTCGAAGCACGCGCGACGGCCTACTCGGCGCAAGAAGCAATGTGCATCTAAGGTGTGCCACATATATGCGTCTTCCGAAGTTGAAGAAGCCATCTTAGCAAGACTGCACCATAAATGCCCCTGAGGATGCACAGTCTGTGGGTCTTGCATCAGCTTCCACTTTGATCTTGTCGAGGAACATGTGTTTAGAGAGACTCAATTCCGCGTGCAGGATTGCACTCTGAGCCTATGTCTACATTCTACATGCTACCGAGCGTCGAAGACTCGCGCAGACACCACGAAAAAGTTCAATGCGCTCCACAAGAACGGATTCCATACCATGCCTGAATCGAGCGAGGCAGCATCCGAAGGAGCATCGACTCTGCGAAAAACTGCAACAGCAGCCCCACGCTCTTTCGTACTCCGAGGCCGGGTCACCCAGACAGCTTGAGGGTGTGCACCTCTGCAACCTGGCCTCGATCAAGACCAGAGCAGGGATGCAGAGAACCTTACGTTCCAGTCCTACGACGTTACTCTCCACAGACCTGAGAACAATGCCAGACAAAGGCAGGAAGGGGCCTGCTATCAGAAGTCATCAGCTGCGGCCGAAACAGCTTGCGGAGCTGGAGTACTATGCTCGAGCTGCAAGCCCACAGATCCCTTGCATTCCCACTGATGGATACCTCCCTGGTCGGCCCGTAGATCGTGTGGAAGACGTATGCGAGACACGCACACCTATCACACGAAATCTTTAGCTTGCATGACTGTCCACTCTGCAGTCTAGTAGGATTCCGGCTAGCTCTTGGCATGCTCAGCGTCTCGCCCCGATCGTTGCCTGGGCACCTTCACCAAGATATGCATTGAGACAAACAGTCACAACTGCCCTGTAGGGTTTTTGACCGGACATCTGCACTCTGCCCTGCCGGCCTCCGTTTCTCCTTGAATCGCAGCCGCCGCTGCGGCACAGCGCCGGCACTCTTCAGCCTCCGCGCCGTGCGTGAGGGCATAAAGCTCGGCAGCACGCTCGTAGGCGGCGGCAGTCGCAGAGCTGTCGTCCTGCAGATGCCAGCAGCGGGCTTTCAGCTCCTCGAACTTGGCATGAAGGGGATGGACGCGATTGCCAAGGCGGCCATGGGCATCTTCCAGCTGCTCCAGAATGTCAAGGCGCTGTTCTGGTGAAACGAGCTGCAGGTTGCCCAGGTACATGTGAAAGATCCTGAAATGATAGGGATGCAGGTAGGGGGTGCAATCGTTGCACAGCCGCTCACAACGCTCTGCTTCTCGGAAAGCTTGGAGCTGCTCATCTTCGACTCGAAACCCGCACTCTTCGCAAAGCAGCATGTCAAAATCGCCCGGAGATCGGCATGGCCGCGGAGGACAGCATGGGGAATCGCAGTCTGGGCAAAGGAAAGCACATACCACCTCTGCTTCCTCCTCCGTGCACCTTTCGCAGCCGCAGTGAAAATTGAAACTCCGCTGGAGGAGCTCCTGGCGGTGCCACGTGGGAAAGTACTCGGGAATGTAGGCCAGTGATACAACGTCTCCCTTCGCCAGGTCGGACAGTGCTCGGATCACCAGAGTATGTCTCTTTGCAAGCACACACTTGAAAGCAGATGGCCTGCAGCTGTGCTCAGCCAGGCTTCCCATGGAAAAAACTGCTGCACGCTTGTCGTCTGTTTCATGTGCATTTGCAGCAAGCTTGGAATAAAGGTCCAGAAGTTCAGAAAGATCCAACTTACTGCCGAATTCTTCCCTCAGTGCTTCATGGAGATTGCCCACGGTCTGGCACCACTGCTCTGGATGGCCCCGAAGTTGTGACAGCCGTGAGAGGACAGCAGCTCTGGATCCCCTCACTATCTCCCCCAAAACCGTGATGAAGAGCTGAGTGACGAGGGGCAGCTCCGACGGCGTTGAAAGTGTTGTGAACAGCTCCTCTGCCAGGCGCTTCAGCTCTTCACCCCACACAGACACAAATAGCGGCTCCTCGACGAGCCTCGCTGCCAGACACGCAGTGGCATGCCGTGGGGAGCCAAGAGACAAAGAGATAAAGACAAAGCTATCATACCTCCAGCATACTTACATTCTGGCACTACTATCTTACTAGCATCGAAAGCGCTGGGTCGAGAAGCAAGATCTCTCCAGTGGAGATTGGTCCAGACGCTTCCAAACAGCGACCGACACCGGCCCGCTCCACGACATTGACGTTACGCATGGCTCAGTTTAGGCTAAGAGACTTGCAAAGTTGTCAACGGAGACGACGGTGTGAGTTTTTGGCATAATCTGGCAAACTCGTAAGGCTCTGGTTGTTGCAAGGCATCAATACACCACCGGAACATTCTAGCTGCCACCTTTGCCTAGGGTTACGGCGCCTCTGCAATAATCTGGCAGTCCCCACTGAGATGCAACCCTCTCTGCACGAACTCCATGAGCGTTTGCTTTCATGGATGCTTGCCGCCATAAGCACCAATCAATTCGGTAAATATGGATGGCATATCCAGGAATACCAGCACAAATACATGCAAATAAATCAAAAAACACATGTACTATGTTATGCTCATGTATATTTACATATATTTATGTATTCATTTGCATTATATGTATTTGTGTATGTGTGTGATTTCATATATCAGCAAGACCACCATAAACATCAAAAAAGGTATGATTGGAAAAATATGCGCGAATTCAGGCAGACAGGGGGAAGTTGGAACAACAATCGAAAGTTGCTACTGGTTTCGGTTGCTCCATAGTTTCCTGCAGGCCTTTCGTCGAACTTGCGAACCATGTACGGGCGCAGCGTCAGACGACTCCGCTATGTCGACACAAGCCGAGACGTGTGCGCAATCAGGATCTGTTGTTCAAGCATGCTTTGTTCCGTACAGATTTGCGAACGTCCATCAGTATTCTTGCTCGTGACATCGGTATTTGCTCCTAGTTACCTCCCGTGAAGACTTGATAGCATTCAGCTCTCTTGACGGTGATGCGGGCAGCTCTGAAAATTCACACAAAGTGTTCATCGGCCTTATCATTAGACGAATCCAAGAACATCGAGCACTAAGCTCCAGGGCACCGCTCGAAGAGACTTGATGTGTCATTTCGCTAGGCTTGGATCTTGAAGCACACAAACAAACGATGACAACGTCGTGCAATGCAGGTCTGCCGCCGAGAAACAGAATCGAAACGTGCAGTTGTAGAGTTATAGAACTCACACAGACTTCGTATCTCCACGGCAAAGACAACTGCTGCACACATGCTTGAAAAGCTTTCTCCCTTTTGCTGGGATGAATAAGCTGGTTGCACAGCTACCCCTTAAGACACTGACAACAAACTCGTGCTGTGCTGGTTGGGTTTGATACAGGAACCCACAAATGCCGACATCTTTCACTACTAAGGACAGCCTGAGGCAGTACAGTACGAGTGCTTGCGACAACTGGGAACAACAAGCTCTGAACTTCTTCTACATTCGTCGCATCCAAACATTGCAACAGACCATGTGCTAGAGAAATGATTCCACATTGCTCTGTTTGTCACATCTTGGCCTGGTCTTTCACATCACTGGGCGTAGCTCCGACCGGTTCAGGATCTGATTGCGCTGTATCTTCTTCCATTCAGGCAGGGACTCCGGGTCGGTGTTGAGGCAGGGCCAAAGCCGTGTCGGCGGAAGCTGCCTTGACTCCATGAGCAAGGCTCTAATCTGATGGTCTTGCTCATGGAGCGGTTCGTCAACGGACAGATTCAGCTTAGGATTGTCGTAGAAGGCATCGAAAAGGTTTACATACCCACCCTTAAGCGCAAAGTCGGGGTTCACGTCGCCAGTGCTGTCAAGGAAGTGAAAGATGATGATCTTGTCTATGTCCCCTGTCCATCCCTGCACGTCGGCGTTGTAGACAGTGCTGGTAACGAAAAGGTTCAGCGACTCCAAGAAACCCCAACGAGGAACCGCTCGCACTGGGTCTCCGAAAAGATCGTTGTACTGGATGTCCTCTTGACCCATCATGCCAGCAAAAGCCTTCTGGCAAAATTCGTAGGGATGGTTCCAGAGCCACACGATGAGCTCTTGCAAGAACTCAGCCGTGTCCGCGTGGGCTTTAGCATAGACAACACCAATGTTGAGGCACTCGGAACCAAAATCTCTGGTCAAGAGAAGCTCAGCCTTGTCCCAATGTGACAGGATCTCGGGTAATGGGTCCTTGAAGAGCGCCAGGTCGAAATCGAGATACAAAACGTCAAAGCCCAAGTTGACAATAGCAGCCATCATGTGAAACTTGTTGGCCGCCGTCTTCTGTGTTCCAGCGATGCAGAAGCTTGTCTCTAGGTGCGCCTTGTCGCATTCCTCTTTGGCGTGGGCATCCAGGCAAAACACTAACATCCGCGGTAGGTGCCCCAGTGCTGCAGCACGACGCAGCCAACCCGCAAGGTACTTAGCGTAGCGCTGGCCATATACCGTCGTCATGAAAACGATGTGGTGGCTGCTCGGGCGGTGGATGTCAGCATCAAGATATCTGAACAAAGCCTTCAGCAGCTTCTGGTACACGTCACTGGGCCAGGCCAATAGCCGCTGCCTGATGTTGCCCAGCAGCCGAGCACCGCTTGTGGCCAGGCTAGAGAGCTGTTTTCGCTCCGCTTGCGAAGTAAGCAGCTCTGTAGGAAAGAAGTCAAGGGTGAAAGGCTTCGTCTGGTAGGAGTCTGTTCCAGACCGTGATCTCCACCGGACAATTTGAGCACCCATGTTTAGAAATGTCATTAAGGGCCACTCGGTTTCAAAAAGGACCGGTAGCAAGTCCGGAAAGGCATCTTCGACCTTCAGGAAGATCTGGACCACATGACTTAGCTGCAGAGGCACCTGCTCAGACAGGGCCCGCAGATACACCACCAAGCGGTGCAGCGACACAGCAAGCATGCCCAGCGGGCACTCCTTGATCTGGGCCTCAAGATGTGATTGGTTCGAGTCCTGCCACATGAACATAGTCAGATGCATCGCAATCCTTTGCGAATTTGCGTCGCCCTTCTGATAGGCTGCTTCAAGCCTGTGTCGAAGGACTGTCCAAGTGGGTGAATGAGGAGTTGTGTCCGTCTCGGAGAAGTCCGGAACCTCTGAGGAATCGTCGCAGTCGATGCCGCGGAGAGCAGTCGAGTCAAAAGCTGCGGCAAACGGCTTCTGCCAGTTTCGAAGCTCTTGCATCGCTGTCACCCAGTACTCGAACAGGCGGCTCCAGCGTGTGTTCCAGAAGACAACGAGCTCCTCGTGTAGCTGTAGCCCATAATGGTTGCCATAGGCACCAAGCACGAGCTTGGTAAGGCGAATGGGATCTATGCGAAAGGTTGTGCATGAAGGGTGGTCCCAGGCTGCGAGCACACAGGAGGTCCAGTGGCTCAACCTTACCAAGAACCAGCCGAAAGGGCAGATGTCTTCAAAAACGGCCGGTACCTTGGCAAACTTGCTTGCGTGGCCTTGCCACACCTTCTGGTTGCTGGGACTGGCACCCTGCAGCTCCACCGCAGAGAGCAAGAGCAGGACGGCCTACAGCATCCCGTTTAGACTCTTCTCGCAGGTTCTTGCCGGGGAACTAGGGAGTCATACGAAGTGTCGCATCCCATGTTTCGCTACCAAGACATTAATGGTGTTGCGGCCTTGCAGGATTAGACAATTTAGGGTTTATGTGCTTAGGGCTTGCTGTTCTCTTGGAGCAAGTTACCATAAACTCGAAGATACGTCCTGAGCTTACAGAACAGGCATCAACCAACAGCCAGAAAACCTAAACCCTAAAACCGCAAAGACCCTAAACCCTGAACCCCTGCCTCGTGAAGGTCGCGTGCCTCCTGGCCAGCACTGTGGCACTCGTAGTCAGGGAGCTGCAAGGTCGGGCGAATCTCCTCCTCAATGGCCATTTCCAAACTATGGTGGAGGGCACACTAAACTTTAGGCACTAACCCTCTTCAAACCTGACCCCAAACCCCTTGGCTCTGAACTCTAAACCCTAGAACATGAAGCCTGAACCTGAAAACTTGAAAAGCTGGAGCCGCTGCCTGGGCCTCATCTCGCCACGTGCCATGAGCCGGTGACCCCAGTGCCAGCACTACCAAGAGCACCAGCAGCATATCCGCCCTTTCGGAGATGCGGCGGTGCCATTTCGAGACGAGACGGGCAGACTCAAAGATGCGCAGCCTGATGTCTTAGTCACATTCTTTCTTATATTTTGTCGACGGCATGTAGCGAACTGTAATTGCTCAAAGCTCTGGTGACGACAACGACACTCTCGCGGAGTGCTCAACCCACAATCTGTGACGATAGAAACCTCGACAGACTTTGTGATTGAAGGCCCCGCTCATGTGTGTGCAGCATAGGCGGAGCATCATCCGGAGCATGCAGTAAACCAGCCCCGAAGCGACCCATGCTTCTGAAGCCGAGAAGTGGAGAGGCCACACGGCTACTCGGGACCCTGAAGACTTTTACGGCAGATGCTTGATCAGACCCCACACCGCCGCTGCTCAATTTTTTTGCACGACACGGCCGTTTCTCTCGCCGCTCCAAATCAGCCACGTCCGAAGGAAGGCAGTTCTACACGCCTCGTTGAAAATTATGCCAAACTAGGGAACTCAAAGGGAACGCCATAACATGTCAGGCCTCCCCTGTGCAGCTGAGCAGCCAAACATCTGTTTAGCGACACGGACCGACGTGCGGCCACTGCAGCGTGGGCCGTGGTGCCAGGCGACCACGTTGAAGTTCTGAGATGCTGGGGATTGGCACAGGAAGTCTAACGCTGAGGTGTTGAGGCGACAACCACCTGACCTGCTGTCTGGCATACTCCTTTGCTACTCGGTGCTTGTGCATCTTCGCTATATAAGTCCCATTGATGGTAGGCCACGCAAAACAACCACACAGGTCAGGTCGCAAAAACATAGGCGCGTGTGACATTGCCAAGAACTCGCCGAGAGAGAGACAGAGGGAGAGAGAGCGAGACAGACACAGAGACAGAGAGACAGAGAAAGACAGACAGACAGACAGACAGACAGACAGACAGACAGACAGACAGACAGACAGACAGAAAGAAAGAAAGATAGACAGATAGACAGGCAGAAAGATAGACAGATAGACAGATAGATAGAGACAGACAGAG